TGTATAAACAGACAAGGATGAAGAGCATTTGCAGGGACCCTTGACCATATCAAAGGGTGGTGCTGAGGTTAGATGAGATCTTTGTGCCCAGTCATTTGATGAGTTGCCATAGGATGGCGGGTCCCTCTCTGTGTTGTGGCAGGCACGTGGCACAGGCCTCAGGGCAGCTGGCGTCCAGCCTTCATCCTGCACTTGCAGAACAGTGACCTCATGTTAGCTTTCTCAGTGGTATTTGTCCTGCAGGGTTGTTGAAGGCATTGACACCACCATCTATAAGGCACTCGGCGCTGTCCCTGGGATAGCATAGTGCTCAAGAGGGGAGGGGTTGGGGGGCTGGGCGACAAAGGTGAAGGAATTAAGCAAAGAAGAAAAAAACTCATAGACACAGACAGCAGTGTGGTGACTCCAGAAGGAAAGGGGGTGGAGGAGGTAGAAGAGGGTGAAGGGGGATAAACGGTGATAGAAGGAGACTTGACTTGGGGTGGTGCACACACGGTACAATATACCGATGGTGTATTATAGAATTGTACACCCATATGATTAAAAAAATTTTTTTTTCTGTATTGATTTTAGAGAGGAAGGGAGAGAGAGATAGAAACATTGATGAGAGAGAGCATTGATTGGCCGCCTCCTGCATGACCCCACTGAGGATCGGACCCACAACTGGGACATGTGTCCTGACCAGGGATCAAACTGGTGACCTCTTGGTGCATGGGTCAGAGCTCAGCTAGTGAGCCACACCAGCCAGGCTGAAACCTATATAATTGTATTAGCCAATGTCATCCCAATAAATCAATAAAAAAGTTGTCAAGGTTAGCGGATAGAAGCCACGGGGTCGCTCCCAAGCCTGCATTTCACCGCCTCGTGCCCCCTCCCCTGACTTGTGAACCTGTGGTTTCGGTCCTGCTCAGTCCCAGCCGGTACTCTGGGCTCCCTAAGAGGTGTCCTTGTGAGTTCTCGGAGAGACTGCTCCTCACCAACTCGTGGTTTCTATCTTCAGCTTCTCCCATGTGAGGGCGTCCATCTCTCTGTGGTCCACTAAGACTTTTGAGGGCACTCTCAGCTCCACTGATACTGGTGCCCATCGCCCCGACCACACTGATGTCCGTGCCCAGCGCCCATCTCCTGATGCCCCAGCAGTGCCAAACCCTCAGGAGCCAGACAGCAGGGATAACCTTTCTGGAAACCGTCTCCCAGTTTCCACTGCAGTCTCTGAGCATGTACCTGCCTCCACGTTGTGTCCCTCTGGCCATCTGGACCCCAGAGCTGCTTGAGTGTCTCCTGGCTCTGAGGGCTCCTCGTGAAAGCAGGTGGATGTCTGTGGGAGTCATCTGGAAAATAGGACTCTGGGAAAATCACTGTCCTCCCAGTTTCCTGCCCTTTCAAAAGGGGCACTCGCCCTCCTCCCCTTCCTGCAGAGCCTGCGTGGCCCTGTGGGGTGTGACCCGGGGCAGGTGCTCGCCACCAGCTCAGCCACCTGAGCCTAATTCCAGATTTACGTGGAAGTCACACCACCGTTGCTCTGTGAGGATCAGGGCAGATGAGTAAAACCTGCTCAGGAAGAGGAGCCGAGCCCGGGTTGGAGGAACGGCCCCAGCCCTTGGAAGGAACTGGCCTGCAGAGAGTGCTTTCCAGAATCGGAACTGCGGGAGCCCAACCCCCGATCCGAAACCCTGGGGGCCAGACGTCTTCAAGTTCAAAATTTAGGAAGGTGATAAGCTGCACATTCTGTGCAGGACAGTTCAGTAAACGGATAGCCCAGGGCCTGGCCTGAGGATTCCCTTTGTAATTAAAGTCTTACTGATACACAGCTACGCCCATTTGCTTACATGTTATCCACGGCTACTTTCAGCTACGGTAGCAGAGCTGAGTATGCAGGACGCGGCCATATGCCCACAAAGCCTAAGATACTTACTCTCTGGCTCTCTGCAGCACGTCTGCTAAACCGCGTACGACATAACAGGCCAGGGGCAGCACCCTGTGACTAAACACAGGCAGATCCCTGCACTGAAATGAATGGATCTTCCCACTCAGTAAGGTAATTAACTTAGTCAGCTCTAGGAAGCTTTGGCTACCACATGGTTATTGAAAGAACTTCCCACGTTCAGAGCTTTCGGGGTTTCATAGGGTCCTTTTCTGCTTTGAGTAGATAGACGCACAGAGCATCAGGCTGCTTCTGCGTGCTCTTCCACTAGCAAAGCACACGTGTTGCGTCTTCAAGACATCTTTTGCTTCGAGTCCAGATCACTGGCTTCAGGCCAGGGCCCTGCAGCATCCCCTGTACCCTGGCTGACGTGGAGGCAGGCGGCAGGCCCTCTGGGCCGGCATATAACCACCCTATTTTAATTTTTTTTTTCTTCCCAGATGTTGTCTCCTATTCAATCTGGGCCACCACAAAGATGGACAGAAAGTGCAGGGATTTTTGTTTTTCTTTCTTTCTCATCCTAGTGCCAACCAAAAGAACAACACCAGATTGTTCAAGGTCTGTCCGTGGATGCTGGGACCACCCTGTTTATGTTGAGTGTCCTGCGTGGCTGGCTTCCACATCCTTCCTGAAGCTGACCCTGTCCTGTCAATCTCTTGAATTCCGGGAAGCACGTGGGTCTTCGTGCCATGTGGGGGAGGGGTGCGTGGCAGATGAAGGACCCCTGCCCTTAGTTCAGTTCCAGGGACCCCTTGATGTAGGGGCCGGTGGGGCAGGGTTGCTGTGTCCACAGAGGGTTCTGCAGAAGCGATTTTTTGTTTGGTTTCCTTTTTTTTTTTCTTTATTGATTTTAGAGAGAGACGAAGGGAGAAGGAGAGAGAGATAGAAACACCAATGAGAGAGAACATCAACTGGCCACCTCCTGCACGCCCCCCACTGGGGATCCGGCCCACAACCTGGGCATGTTTCCTGACCGGGAATCAAACCGGCCACCTCTTGGTGCCTGGGACAACACTCAACCACTGAGCCACACTGGCTGGACTCGAAGTGTTTTATGTACACCCCAGAAATACTGGCATAGTTGTCTTTTAATTGCATTCTTAGCTTTTTCTTTTCTGGAGCTCTTTGTGATGCCCCGTTTAATCAGTCAACACATGTCGACTGGTCCCTTGCCCCGGGCTGGGCGTGGGACACAGCTCTGCAGCAGTCCTGCTGGAAGGTGAGGCTGACGCGTCGGCCACTCGGAAACAGGGAGTACATGCTGAATTCGGGGAATCTCTCGTGTGACTCTAGTTGTAAAGCCATTTTCACAAGCTTTAGACTTGTAGTTAAATTTAAATGTTGGGATTTCACCCATTTTTGGAAGATTGTAAGCTAAGTTCTAACATTATACACACAATGCAGGGACTCCACACTTGCTGTGTACCATGCCTGCTGTCAGATGGGGCACAGCCGCTGTGGGAGGTGCTCGGGAGAGACCCCAGCTCCTGGCTCTGCTATGGACCTCAGTCCTCTGAGGCCCGGGCCACATCTTCTCTTTTCTTCATGTCCCAGGACCTGATGCATAGTAGGTTCAAAAATATGTGCGAGCCCTGGCCAGGTGGCACAGTTGGAGGATCGTCCTATACGCTGAAAAGTTGTGGGTTCCATCCCCGGTCGGGACGCATACGGGAGGCAACTGATCAGTGTTTATTTCTCACATTCAATGTTTCTCTCTCTCTCTCCCACGCCCATCCTCTCTCTAAAATCAATTAAAAACAGACCCTTGAGTGAGAATTAAAAATATATGTGTGAAAGGAAACGAGGAAGGGAGGGAACACACGCTGTATTAGGAAATCAGTAGATTACATCTTCCTAAAGAAAATGACCTGTTAGCCTCCTCATGCCCTCTAGATTTCTCCGCCCGGTGTCTCATGGGCCCGTGGCCTCCCCAAGCTGAGTGAGGGCTGTTCTCCGCTTTCTCCAGGCGTGTGCGCACATGCTTATGCCTGCACGCGACCTCACACACACACGTAGCTTTTTAAAAAATTATATGAGTAAGTAGAATGCCACTGATGTTTGTTTTGTTTAAACAAGGGACACATTTCAGTGAGTGAATAGCATCTTTGAAGAGACAAAACCTGGCATGATGATCTATCTGGGCAGCATTGCCAGACCTTTTTAACGTGTGCACCGCCGGATAAATAGTCTGGTGGTCACTTTGCTCAGTTCTCCCAGCTGACTGGTCAATTCAGTTTAAATAAGTGGTCAGGCTCGTGGCTTTGCCCATTGGCCCAATTACTGCATGGGATCGATGTGGTTACTGAGGGAGCTCAGTGCAGTGACTTGGCGTGGACACAGGTGGCGCAAGTGAGCAGCTGCCCAAAGAGGTCCCATGGATTTCCTGGGGTTGAGTCCTGTCTGTTCTGCAAGAATCCTCCCGATGTGGTCCCAGTCCCCAGCCGGCAGTGAGCCCTCCGCGCACGCTCCCACTCCCAAAGCACTGGCTCCAGCCCCGGGGGTCCCACCCCTCTGGGACCTCCTGGCTCCACATCCAAGGGCCGTTTCAGCGCTGCTCCTCCTCGTGTGTCCCAGGGACTCGGGAAATGCTTGTCTGAGCAGAGCTGTCGTGCTGCATGTTAACGTGACTGTCACAAATATCAACTGGGTCCGGCCGGTGTGGCTCAGGGGTTGAGCGTCAACCCATGCACCGAGAGGTCGCCGGTTCAATTCCTGGTCAGGACACATGCCCAGGTTGTGGGCCAGATCCCCAGTGAGGGGCACGCAGGAGGCGGCCAATCAGTTTTCTCTCATCAATGTTTCTATCTCTCTCTCCTTCTCCCTTCCTCTCTCTCTGAAATCAATCAAAGAAAAAAAATTTTTTTTTTAAATATATCAATCAGCCTTTGTACAGCACCTTTTCCTTTGCTCAGTGATCATCGTTACAACAACCTGTGAGTCAGAAAGTATTTTTAATCTTCATTTTATCATCATCATATCAATAATATTAACAGCTAATATTTACTGAGCCCCAGCTGAGCCAGACATAGTGTTCAGTACCATGCACGCGGCCCCTAATTAAATTTTCGCGACCAGCCTGTGCGCTGTGACTGCCTACATTTTCCCTGTGATGGGAGCTTGAAGTGTCTGGCCCAAGGCCTTAGTGCAGGGCAGGGACGCAAGGCCCAGGGTCCCTGACACCACCAGCCTTCTTCTCAGACACCCATCCCACCTGGGCAAACACTGAGGCCAGCCTGGTATGGGACCTTGTATTAGTTTCCCAGGACAGCCACCACGAAACACCACGGAGTGTGGGGTGTAGCGACAGGTAAGATTCTCTCAGCTCTGGAAGTTGGACCAAGGTGCCCACAGGGCTGGTGTCCCCTGAGGCCTCTCTCCTTGCCTGGTAGACGGTCCCCTTTCTGTGGCCTCACGTGGATGAGGGCCCACCCTGATACCTCATTTACCTCTTTCGAAGTCCTGTCTCCAAATGCAGTCTCATTCTGAGGCGCTAGAGGTTAGGACTTCAACGGCCAGTTTAGGAGAGACACAGTTCAGCCCGCTAAAGACCTTGGACAGATTTGGCGTTTCCTGCAGAAAACAAACACAGAGTTTCTTTAACCTTTATCATGTGTGTAAAACTCACGAGAGAACCCCCCACACACTCCAAGAAAGAACGGAGAGGGAGCGAGGAAGGTCTGGCGTCCCTTCCCATGACCAGTGGGTCCGCGATCGAACCCTCAGCGGACGAGCTTTCCACGGGCACCTCAGCTGTGCCCAGTACGGATCTGTCTCAGGTCGGAGGCCTGGAGTTGGAGAAACACACCCTCCCTGTCGCTGAAGGCACAGAGGCCTCATCCAGGCCACTGGCAGGGAGGGGCAGAGTCTCCTCAACTTTGTGTTTAGGTAAATATAAGCAGAACAGGGCACACGCTTCACACATATACCTCAGAGAATTTGCACACACCCACATGTGTGAGTAACCGGCCCCCACATCAATACCCAGGATCCTTCCAGCACCCCAGTGGCCCTCTCCGGTCCCCTGCCAGCCACTCGGTGGTGTGGTTTAGTCTGTCAGTACAAAAGCAGAGAGAGACGATGGGTGCAATGGACGAACCAGACGCCTCATCTTTATCTGGGTTCTGTAGACCCAACTCTGCTCCTGATTAACCCCAGGACACTGCAAAGGCAGGTGCACCTCTCACCTGAGCTTCCTCTTTTGTCAAATGGAGGGAGACAATCTCTAGGTAAGAATGAATTTTAAAAACTTCAGGACAGTGTTAGACACATGGATGATAAGATGGTATACTTATTAGCTAACAGGGAAAAGAACAAATAAAGAACAAGTATACTTTTCGCTCTCTGGGGTACACAAAGGAACTGGCCTAATCAAGAGACATCAGGCTATTTAAAAGGTTATTTAGGCCCAGCCAGTGTGGCTCAGTGGACTGAATGTCCTCCCATGGACTGAGAGGTCCTGGTTCGATTCCTGGTCGGGGCACATGCCTGGGTTGTGGGCTTGATCCCCGGTGGGGGGCATGCAGGAGGTTGCTATCAATGTATCTCTCTCACATCAATGTTTCTAAAAAAAAAAATCAGTAAAACATATTAAATAAATACATAGGTAACCTAGCAGGGATGGTTGTTAAGGTGCTAATGGGGACAGGTAGAGAGCATTCTGCTGAGAACCTGTTTATTGCCCGGGTTTGGAAACTCCAGGGGCACCCCCAGTCAACCCTGGTGCTCTGTGTTTCACAAGTTGGCTGCATGCAGTCTTGTGTGGAACCTTCTATGTCAACTGGAAGGAGCCAGAGAGCTGGGGCGTTCAGGGCTCAAGCTTTGTCCCTGGAAGGGAGACAGTACCTGTATCAATGGCAGAAGGTGTCTTTGCCAAATACCTTCTCTATACCAGACATCGACCTCGCGAAGCATGGGCAGTTTCTTGTTCCGTCACCTGCATCCTGGAGGCTTGTTTTTTTTTTTTTTTTTTACCCTCACCTGAAGACATTTTTGCATTCATCTTCAGATAGAGCAGGAGGGAGAGAAGGAAGAAGTGAGAGAGAGAAACATTGATGTGAGAGAGACACATTGAGTGGTTGCCACCCACATGACCCCAACCGGGGCCAGGGACAAACTGCAACCGAGGTACGTGTCCTTAGCGGAAACCGAACCCAGGACTCTCTGGTCCGCAGACCGAAGCTCTAACCACTGAGCCAAACCGGCCAAGGCTGGATGCTTGTTCTTATTGGTCCCGTTTTATTTTTATTTTTATTTTTTTTAATTTTTTTTATTTTGTTATTGATTTTTTTTTTTTTTTATCCTCACCCCGAGGACACTTTTTTATTCTTTGTTCTGATAGAGCAGGAGGGGGAGAGAGAGAGAGAGAGAAACATCGATGTGAAAGTGACACATCGAGTGGCTGCCACCCACACGACCAACCAGGGCCGGGGACAAACTGCAACCGAGGTACATGCCCTTAGCGGGAACCGAACCCGGGTCTCTCCGGACCGCAGGCGGACGCTCTAACCGCTGAGCCAAATCAGCCAGGGCTTGGTCCCGTTTTAACACGTAGTAGTTAGTGTACTTCTTTCTTAATT